TGCATGAGAAAGTGAGACTCTATCTCAAAATACATACATACATACACACACACACACACACACACACACACAAATATATATATACATTCTAGGATTCTAGGTACCCCTTACAGGTGAATTAAATCCATATTTCTAGAGAAACCAAGAAGGCTTAAAGAACCTTAAATCAGATTTTGAACACAAACTACAGCCCTGTAGTTTATTACAGCTAATTTACAGTAAATTATTTGCAGTAAATTACAGCCCTGTAATTTAGAGGTCACATGCCAAGGATTCTGACAACATTGAAACACACAAGAGAATTAATGCATTGTGATTTTCACAGAAAGGATTAAATGGAAATGAATACACAATTGCACGAGAAAAGGAAACTTCACGTTCAAATACTTTAAGTAGAATCAGCTGTTATAGAAAAGGTGAAATATAGTAGGTATAAGTAAAATAGGTTATTGTGGCATTTCCCATGGGAAGGTTGATTATAAAAGATCTAGGCTGGGCACGGTGGCTCACACCTGTAATCCCAGCACTTTGGGAGACCAAGGCAGGTGGATCATCTGAGGTCAGGAGTTTGAGACCAGCCTGACCAACATGGTGGAAATCCTGTCTCTACTAAAACTACAAAATTAGCCGGGTGTGGTGGCACACACCTGTAGTCCCAGCTACTCAGGAGGCTGAGGCAGGAGAATCGCTTGAACTCAGGAGGCAGAGGTTGCAGTGAGCTGAGGTCATGTCACTGTATTCCAGCCAGGAGACAGTGCGCAACTCCATCTCAAAAAAAAAAAAAAAAAAAAAAAAAAAAAAAAATCCATTCTGTGAAAGAGAAGGACTACCATGATATTGTTAAAGACTTGGAATTTGCATTAAGGCTAAATAGAATCACATCCCAGCTCTGCCATGTGCTAGCTAGATAACTTAACATTTTTGTCCCTCTGTTTCCTTGTCTATAAAGCATAAGTAATAATAGACCAAGTCAGGGGTGTTGTGTGAAGTAAAAAGAGTTAATATAGGTATAGCATTTAGAATGGTGCCTGGAACATAGTAACCATTCAATTCAATAAACATTCCTCCTCTCTCCTCTTCTTCTGCCACTTTTTCTTCCTTTCTGTTTCCTCTCCCTTCTCCTCTTATTCCCCCTCTTCTGTTTTTCACATAAACAAGAGAAAGATAAACGGTTTGATTATAACTATGTATTACTCTAAACTTAATATTACACATGTAACTAGCAATATTTCAGTTGGAGATAAAATGATGTCTTTATGTAAGATCTTCTTTTTAATTTTTCTATTTAATTTTTTTTTTTATGGACAGGGTCTTGCTATGTTGCCCAGTTCGGCCTTGAACTCCTGGGCTCAAGCAATCCTCCTGCCTCAGTCTCCTGAGTAGCTGGGACTTCATTGGATCATCTGCATTTTTAGAACCAGCCATTTCAATGGTCAATCAAAGCTCTATCTTACTAAAGAGACCTGAATATATTAGGTATCTTTCTCTTTGTTTCAATTTTTTCATGTTCCTTTTTCCAAATTATTTAGAGAGCTTAGAATTTCCACTCAACCCTGAAGACTAAGAAAACTTCTCCAATCAAACAACTATCCTGAAACTTTAAGAGGCTCTAATTGGACCTAATATAAATGTATCAGGAAACTCACTGCACAATTGAAGATTCATCAAGAGTGACTTAGCAGATTGTAACTCAGTCTGGGTCCTCTCAATGAGAAACCCTGTTGTGTGACTTAGGTGTCCAGCTGCTCAGAAGTATTTAATGCTTTTCATATCAAAGATGAAAGAGAAATCTCCTGGAAACTGAATGTATAATCATGTCAGCAGTGGATCCCACTAAGAAAATCAACTATTTTAACCCATGGAAATGACCCAGAAACACTCAGAGAGAAAGTAATGCAATAAGTAAAAAAGACAGTGTAGGGAAATTCAGTCATTTGTTTCTAGCTACTTACTGACTACTTTGAAAAATGGCATCCTTTTTTCAGAAAAGTACAGGCCCCTAAATAAAAATGCTTTTAAGAACAGTCAATTAGTCACCAAAAAGTAACTATGTGACATGATGGACCTGTCAATCTGCTTTATTACTGTAACATGGTATTTTCTATATGTAGTCCCATAAATTCATGTTGTAAACCTCAAATATACATAATAAAACTTACTTTAAAAAACAGTAGTCCAATTAAATAAATTAAATCAAGAAATCAAATGTGCTAAAGTTCTTTGCAACAACACAGATAAATTTACAAAAATGTATTAGTTTGCATGTTTTTAAAAATCAACCTCAGTAAATGTTAGAAAATATTAAATTAGGCACACTTATTCATTATTACCTCAATCTTGCAGAAATGTTTATTCAATTGGAGTGGAAGGACAATACTGAATTGTTTTCAATATGCTTAATTAAATAATGAAGTTAGATTTAAATTGGTAATCCTTCCTGCATCTCCACATTCCATAAAATAAAAAACAATAGCACACTAACTTAGTAAGGATGCTATAAAAAGCAATGTGTGATTTCCCTTAAGTACCCTTTTGAAGAACCATTTATCTTAATACTAGTCAGGCTGGTCTGTTCTAACTGCACTTGAATGTTTTTAGGAAAAGTGCTCTGTTAACAACCATAGACATAAAAAGAGTTTGAAGTCTAATTGTGATATTTTGGGATTCTCATGACTGCCTGCTGCATATCAATTACGTAAATATCATCTGAGAATCTGACAGTTGACTCTCTAGTATACCAAAAATCCTATGCTTAAATCGTAGGATTTTCTTAACAATTGCTTGGCATCATAAGGCACTGCTTTAAGAAAATCTTCGAAATTTTACGATTCTTCGATGGCTCAAACAAAACTAAGTATTTTCATTGGGATAATTGGTAATGTTCTAGAAAACTGTTTATCACAGTATATTCCACAAAAACATGAAGTCCATGACATACTATTCATAAAAAAATGTTGGCCGGGCATGGTGGCTCACGTTTGTAATTCCAGCACTTTGGGAGGTCGAGGCGGGCAGGTCACCTGAGGTCAGGAGTTCAAGACCAACCTGTCCAACATGGTGAAACCCCGTCTCTATTAAAAATACAAAAATTAGCCAGGTGTGGCGGTGGGCGCCTGTAATCCCAGCTACTCAGGAGGCTGAGAAAAGAATCGCTTGAACCTGGGAGACGGAAGTTGCAGTGAGCCGAGATCGTGCCACTGCACTATAGACTGGGCAACAATGAGTGAAACTCTGTCTCAAAAAAACCAAAACAAACAGAAAAAAAGTGTTAAGAGCAAGCAGTGGAGACATGCCAGTATGAATTCTTTATAACCGTGTTGAGGATTACTCAGGATGCATGTTCTCTGAAAGCAGAGATTTGTCTAAGCCTTGTTCACTTCTGTAGCCCCACGCCAGCAACAATACTTGGCAATTAGCAAGCATTGAGCAGAAATCAGTGAATGAATGAATGATCAGTTTTCCAGCAAGGAAATTTCTTTAATTTTTTTTCCAGAGCCTCTCACACTTATTTGATCACCAGAATCGTTTTTTTTTTTTTTTTCTATTAGCAGGATACAATATTTTAGATAAACAAAATAAAGAAAGAAGGAAAGGAAGGGAAGGAAGGAAAGAAACGAAGAAGAGAGAAAGCACAGGAAAAATCTAACACATATACTTATAATGAACACCCATATTAAGATTTAAATGTAACAAGTAAAAGAGAATTCTCTTGGGGACTCTTCCCCCCATTCCATTAACTTTATACCACATCTCTTTCCTCAAAATGAGGTAACCCCAACATAGGGTTTATGTCTACATGCTCCTAACATCCTCTTCTGGGCAGTTCTGAATTGAAGGATTGCTAAAGTCCCTTTACACCCTAAGATTTTAATATATTTCTAGCTAGTATATATTTCGCAGATGGTCATTTCCAAAACTATCCACTTACTGCATTAATACAATGATGAATAAGAAATGAATGAAATAAAACACTACAAAATGATGTAAGACAGTAGGAAATTGGTATAACAATGGTATTTATGAAGAGGCTAACTGGTCTCTCTTTCAGATGGATTGATATAAACTCTGAAGACATACAGAGATATAAACCATGTCCTAAAAAGGCATAGAAGTACTAGCTACTTAACCTAAACTGAGGGATTTTGAAACTATTCTCTACCATTATAGAGAAAAACATGCCTAACATGTACACATTGGATTTTGACTTACTCAAGAAATTGTCTAGGGCTTTAAAGGCAAAACCATGCCTAGATCAATGTCAAAACGTGCTCGCATTGACATAAAAGATGCTACCAAGAAGAGGGCACCCTTTCCCTGAGCTGAATAAAAAATTACTAATGAAAATCTCTTTTATTAAGACCCAGCAAACATGAGCCAATATAGTTTAAAAGGAAAAAGATCTATTTCTAAAAACATAGTCAATGTCATTCACAATATTGTTTCAGTAAAACTTTTTCCCCTCAAATTTTCAAGTACCATTATAGATATTTCTAAATTGTCTTGGAAAACTTTTAAGTATGTTACCAACGAGGTATTCTTTCAAATATCTAAGTTTTGTTCTTTACTTCATAGAGCTGATAAAAAGACCTAGGACAATATATTTTCATACTTGCTCTATTTCTAATTTTATGCATAGAAGGTGCTGAAGAAGCAGACAATTTAGTGAAACACAATTGAACCCAATACCTGTAGCTGTGTAGATAACTGCACACCACTATCATGCAGCAAGGACTAGACCAACAAAGAATAGCAAGATGTGTAGTTGAATTTTCCACTTTATCACTGGGAATCGGTGTCACATAGTTTTATAGACAAACACAAGGATGAGGATTTCATTTCACTTTGAAGCCAACCCACTGACTCCTTCCCATGTTAAATACCAACAGAGAATAAAACACAACCTCACCTTTTATTTAGAAGTCCATATGGACTTACATTAAAATAAATGAAATGAATTCATATTTTAAAAATGTTTATGAAAGAAAAGTGTCAATTCCTACCTCCATTATCTTTTAGATGTAGTGCTATCTTGGTATCATCTGGAAGAGAAATTCAAAGTTATTATAACAGAAAAAGATTTCAAAGGAGCATAAATCTCATGACTAGTAATTGTCTACTAACTGCTTTGATTGGAACATGACTGGATTTTGATAATTTATTGAGGTACTTTCTAGTACAATGAGAGGAAGTCCTTGCTTTACATGATGTAGTTCTAAAATTTCCTACAGAGATTGCAATGTCAAGATTTTGGTAACATCTTGAATGATTCTTAAGTTCTACAAGAGAAGTAAACAGTTAAAATTAAAACTTAAAATACAACAATTTTTAATTCTCTAAAATTACTTATTGTCATTAGAACCTATAGTTATGATCTTATTTATTCATTTTTAAAAATCAAGATCAAGGAAAATCCAAATTAATTGTGATAGTTAAGATTTGTCAATATTTACAAATTTAAATCCAAAAGTTAAATGTTTATCCATTGCTAGAAGAGATGATCAAAACTCTATATAAAGAGATCTTATCCTGACTGAACAAAATGTAGGATATGCTTTTTTATTTTACTGGTTATAGTTCACTCTAAAGGGTAGGGTTTAAATTATAGGAATATTTTCATGGGCTTTAATATAATAATCCAAAATAATGTGGATTAAAAGATAATGTTGCTTTTAAAAGCAGTAAAATCCACTTAGTGGCTGCTCTCCACCTCACTTTATTCTAGTTCACCTTAAAATATCAAATTAAATTCCAATTAAAAGAAAAAGTTCCATATTTAATTTAATTTAATTTAATTTTTTATTCAAGCCAAAGAAAGTGAGGCTTATAATAATAAACAAGTAAGACCCATTTATCCCCCTCAAACCTGATTTGTGGCCAGTGTTATGTGTCTGCCCACTCCCTCCTGGTGGTATCATTCAGAATAGAAAATGATCGTATGTTGGGTAATACACTTTCTTCCTCCTGAGCTGTGCCCGGGCATTAACACTCTCTAGTATTTCTGCCTTCCCTAGAAGATGAAATAGTTGTTTTCAAGGACAATTTCTATGACACATACAGTGTTTCTGTGTAGGTTATAGACCAATATATTTTATTGACTGCATTCTGGAAAACATTAGAATTATATATGAATAGAATTATCTATTGTTCAGAATCCAGAATCAATGGGCATTTTATATGCATTTTGCCTTTCTAACCTGTGATCGTGAAGTTGGATTTGCTTACTACAAAATGTAGCCAGATAGGAAGAAGTCTGTATTTCTTTTCTAGGAAGGAGAGGACAAGAAGCCAGAATCAGTGGTAAAAGCTATGTCTTAAAAAAAAGGCGCAGTGCATTAAAAGTATCCCAGCATTTACTTTTAGTTCACAATAATTTGTCTTTTTTCCCTTTGGATGTCCCTTAAAAATCCAGTTTGCCAAAGAAAAACTTTAGAGAGATCTAGAGAGTAGGAGCTATTGCAGTACATGTCAACACAGTGGTTTTTCCTTCCTTCGGGAAAGAAAAAAAAAACAAGTAAACTATCTCTTGGGTACCTTCTGTAGGGAGGCTGGTGGGAAACTGAGAGGTCACTGCTCTTCTGGTGGTAGTCAGGACCCTGAACTGGGTGGTTGTCGCTCCTACGGTTGTGGTGGTTCGAGAAGAAGTTTCCACTGGTTCTATATTCTCACACATCTTCTCTTTTGACTAGTAAGAGAAATGAAAAGGAAAACAAATTGAATGACCGCAAATCTATTTTTAGAACTTACATCAAAGAAGCTGGGCTATAAGGCACAAAAGCCTTTCACATCAAGACAAGGAATACATTACTTTTGCACAAGGCTATATTAATGATTTTGCTAATTTATGAAGTTTATAAAATAGGAAAGAAAAAAGGATGGATGTAACAAGCAATTTCCCTCTTTAGATATTTAGGTTTCATCATTTACTGCTGTTAAGCTTTCATATTACTGTTTACCTTGCCCTAAATTTTACATTGGTATATTTATGAAAGACACACTGTCAAAAGGGAAAATTTATACCAGAAGAAAAACATGTGCATAAAGATAAGGTTTAAAACATACTCAGGTTTGTGGAGAAAAAGTGCATTCCTTTCACATCAAACCAAAAATGCTAAATCCGAAATATTTGCTAACTTCCCCATACTACTTCATTGTTTCAAAAATCATGAAACAATCTGTCACAAGGTGAATGAATGTTTAAGATTTTGTTTTGCTTTATGAAATATTCAAAGCCACATAAGAAAAGGATTGAACAGAACTCATGTAATCACTCAGCCTATCTTCTTCCTAGCAGAGTTATATTGAAAACATCAGGAAATGGGACATACTGAATTTTTAATTTTTAATTTGTGAAAATAAATCCCACAACCTGCACTGGTAACAACCTCCAACATTCAAACTTTTATAGCTTAGAATTTGGTGTTTCTATCCACCTTTTGTGCCTCTATGGACTCCCTCTCTCGGGTGGGCCTTAAGTAGAAAATAACTATTCTGGACATGAGTGGTTCTCACCCCACATTTAAAAATTATTGTTAAATAAATATCATTCTTAAACTTCTCTCATCATTAGTGGAGCACTGGGCGCCTTTCCCCTTGTTAATGAAGACTTCCTGAGACAGCCTCCTTTTCATTACTAGGATGTAAAACAGGTTTATTCTCCACTTCAAGTCCAAACATACTAGGTTCTCATTCAATTCCCCAAATTCCAGTTCCTGGGCCTCATTTAATTCCCCAAATTCCAGTTCCTGCACCTCTGAGCCCCATTAATCTAATTATTTCCTTTCAGATACCACTTTAGTTGTCATTCCCACACCCTGGACCATATCTGTAGTGGAAAATGTTTGAGAGCTGAAATCATAAGCTCAGTTATCCTTTTTCAGTCTATCCCTGTAGCTGTGAACTTCAATTCTTTTTATTCTTTGACTACTTAGAAAGCCTAGCAAAACGATTCTGTTTTTTTTTCCGTTTCTTTTCCCCCATTACTTCAACCTCTCATTTCAACAGCTTCAAGCACCTTGCTCTATTCGTTTTTTTTGTTTGTTTGTTTGTTTTTTGTTTTTGTTTTTAGTTTTTTTCTACAACACCTTTAAAGAAGATCCCCAGTATAGTAAAAGATCTGCCTGTTCCCTGTCTGCTCCAAAGCCAGGCACAGCTGGAGAATAATCACACAGACCCGCCATGGGGGCTCCAAAAACTCATCTCCTGCATCCTCAGCAGGGCTGTGCATACCGCTTGGCACAACAGACCTGCTGTGTCTTGCTAATTACCTCTCCCATTATGCTCAGTATGAATTTCAAACTCTCTCCACTTTACCTAAAACCGCAATCCCATCATGATGCTCCCAGTTTTATTCCTTGGGCTCACCTTTCATTTCCTTGATAAAGAGACATGATCAGCAAGATTTCTTTAAATTTCTTCATGAATCAGCATACTTACTTGACTCTGGGCTGATCTATTCTTTCCTTCTTTGATAATGGATGGGGACCTTTCCTTATAGCCTTTCTTTCAACCTATGTCCTAGCTCAACTCAGCCCACCTTCACAGGTATTGTGAATTTGCTTATGCGATCATAGTCCTTTCTCTACAATATTTGCCACCTCTAATTCTCTGCTGGCTCCTTACCAACAGCACTTAAAGGTACACAAGCATATCTAATCTTATTTTGCAAACCCAGTCCTCCCTGTTCTCCCCAATGTATCCTGATATTATACTGCTTTCCCTCCATTCATAGACAGTCATATTTGCAGAGAGATCAGTTTGGTCTTCTCAGGCTCCCAGCTTCCCCATTTATAACAATCTTCCTCTTACAAATCCAACTGAGTTGAAATTTCTCATACCAATGTTTCTAAATATCTTCTTAGCTAAATATCCAACATCTTCCATGGTGTCCTCCTCACACCTCATCAGTCTATGGTGGAGATGTCCACTCCCTTGTCTTGGGTTTCTGTGACACACACTCTCCCCCATGTTCTGACACCTCCCTCACAACTCCATCTCGATTTCCTTTTATTTATGTCCATTCCTTAAGTGTTGGGGTGGTTCTTATTTATGGATCATTCTTGATCTGCCACTTCATTCTATGCATTATCTTTTGCAATCTTCTCTACACCCATGACTGCAATGAACATCTTTATGTTGCTTATTCAAAAATCTATATTTCCAGTCCACATTCCTCTTCCAGATTTCAGGCCCAAAAAGTCATCTATTGACCAGGTGTATGCATGTGAATGTCACATACATCTCAAACTCAAGAAGTATAGAATGGAACTTGCCAGATATTATTCTCTCCTTGTGTTTCTATTGTCAATGAACAGGACCTAGTATTCAGTAAACAGGATCCCATGTTCAGTAAACACCCTAATGTTTGAGTAAAATCCAGGACTCAGATTACTTTTAGCCAGTAATTGCAGACTAAGGAACTAAATAGCCCTCCTATTACAAAACAAATAAATTCCGAATAAAACTTGAATTTTAAAGCATTAGGATTTGCAGGAAGTAAAGAATACCCCAACGGTGCCTTTCCATTGTTTATTCCCCTCCTCACTAAAAAAAAAAAATAATAAAACAAAGCAAAAGCGATGTGCTATAAAGATAGTAGGAGCTGTATACATTAAGGGAAGTAAAAAAGCAAAATTTGCCCTGAGGAAAAAAAGCCAAAATCAATATCGTTCTAAAGAGAACAAGCCTTGCAACAGCAGTAGACAGGGGAGATAAATCTGAACTTCTCCTCCTCATATTAGGGCAGAGACTTATGGTAACCCGAAAATCCTAAGGATCCCATCATCTTTGGTGGAAAACATTACCTATTTAGATCTTAGAATAGGATCAGACAAATATACACTAAAAAAGAAAAAAAAAAAAAAAACAGTTGTCTGACAAAGACTCAGCAAAAACAATGACCATACTATTTAGATCACCAAAACTTTAGATAATGGGATCATCCAATATGGAATATATAAAAATCATACATGGAATCTTTAAAATCATAAAAGATAAAATTGAGAAATGAACTGTTCAAATGAAACTATAAAATACTTGGCAGATGTAATAAATATCAAATTTAAATTTTAGATATGAGAAATGTATTTGTTGGAATTTCTACTTCAGTGAGTAGATTACATAGAATATTAAACAAGATGAAGGGAGAATAATAAACCGGTAAATATATCAAAGAAATTGTCCCAAATATAGCACAGAGTAATAAGGAAACAGATTACATATAATGGATGTTTAAAAATATGAGGAAAAGATGAAAACGTCAAGCTTTCAAAGAAGTCAGAAGGTGAAAATAAAGAGCATGGAGAAGTATAGCTGAACAGCACATTTATCAAGCTTGACACCCAGCCAATAAGAAAACACACATTTTTCTTGAACACACACAGACCCTTTGTACAAAATGCCCATGTACTAGTTCATGAAAAATTTCCAATCAGCTTTAAAGATCATAACATGTTCTCTGATGATGACTTAATTAGTTTAGAAGTCAATAGTAAAAAGGGTAAATTTTAAAAGCTTCCATAATTAGGAAATGTGATATAATTCATAATTTAGTGTATTTCCAATAAAATGTTAATAAGATGTATTGACTGATGGATTACAGATCTCGATAAGGTGAGTCTAAAATTTATATGAAGGACAAAAGCCCTAAAATACCCAAAACACTTGTGAGGAAGAAAAAGTAAGGAGATTTGTCCTGTATATAGTGAGATTTCTTATAAAGCAATACTAATTAATTCAGTGGGACACTGATCGAGCTATTGACAGAGCTTCAGAAGAGGAGAGCCCAGAAAATATATGTAACATAAGTGGCTTTGCAAGATATTGCCAAAAGAAAGGATTAATTAACAAATAGTGCTTGAAATTTGGCTATCCATCAGGAAAAAAAAAACCCCATAAAACTGAATCTCTATCTTATATAACACATAAAAACCAATTCCAAATGGAATAGATTTTGATGTGTAAGACAAAGCTTTAAAACATTCAGAAAAAATATACAAAAATAACACCTAGATGAAATTTGGTAGGAAAATTCTTTTAAAACAAAATGCACAGGCATATAAAACTCATCATAAAAATAAAAGATTGATATGTTTGACAGATTAAATTGATAAAGTTAGTGACATAAAATCATAGACAAAATGAAAAGATAAACCAAATTTGGGAGAAAAATATGTATGTTTGAATTACATTCTCAATCTTTACACATATACAGATATTCATCTTTAACATTTTATATTGAGATAACTGATTATATGAAAGCAATGATTGTCTCAAAACACAACTATGGCTTTGTCAATATTCTTTTGAACTATGTTATTAGAGAAATGAGGTGAGATGGATGAGTACACACTGCTGTCATTCTCTAAATGAAATTTCAAAAGGTTGATTAAAGCTACACTGGCAATACTGCATTTAAAGTTCAAGAATTTTTTTTTAAATGTACTGTTCAAGATCTTTATGAGACATGCCCCCCAAAAATGAATTTAAAAAGCCTCTAAGTAACCATTGAACGAATAGTTTTTAACGCAGCATTTCAGCATGACTTGCTTTGCTAAATAAAAAACTTTTGTAATTGTTAGCAGTTTTAATTCAAAACTCATACCGCAAAACTTAATGAAGTCAGAAGAAGTAAAAACTTTTCTTCATAAACTTTACAGGATAACTTTCTATGATCTTGAAATGATAGCATAAATGCAATTCACTGCAAAGTTTTTAAACGGGTTAAAACTGTTTCTGTTATCCAATTGCTTAAATGACTTCACTGCACTCTCGTCTCCATCATGTTTCCTTCAGAGTTAACATTATACCATTTCTCTATGCCAATTAATGTTTTACTATTTCTCATTTATTACAGCACACCAATTTGCTGCAGTCTTCCACCCTCCACAATACCATTGGTCTTGCTGTTTGAGTTACAAAGAGAAACAATGGATTTGTACTTCCTAGAGAAATAGCAAGCATTTAAGAGAACTGCTTTTTGCTCATACAGATTCCAATCCTGGCTCTACTATTCCCTAGCCACTTACCTGACTCTCCAAGAACCTGCACTCCACCCTTACCCACAAGCTCTCCTCACTCCTCCCCTTTCTCTCCTTGGTGATATGAGGGTAGTGACAGTGCAGGCACTGTTCTTCATAGAATGAATATGAGAATGAAATGAGATAATACATAAAAATAGTTAAGCCCAATGTCTGCATATATTACGGGTTGTAGCAAGTTGCTACAATGTAATGAAAATTTAACAAAAATAGCCAGCAGTTATTGAACCCCTAATATGTGCAGACGTTGGGCTTATAGAAGGATTCTTCTCCTTTCATTAAGTTTTAGGGCATGAATTTTGAATAAAAATTATTAACAGTTACAAACACATATATAGGACAGCTTGGTCCAGAATTCTGTCACAATAAAGCATGTGTACCTCTTCAGGGCATCCACTGTCCACCCAGTCCTGCCGATGACGATCAAATCCACTGGAACATCTTCAAAGAAGACCACATTGCAGTTCAGAAAAGGAAGGATAGGGTGCAGGGTGGTAGACAGAAATTAAAAGAAAAAGATTAGTAGGTAGTTCATTCTCACATTTTCAGTTTAGCAGAACATTAACTCTTCTATAGAACTTGCAAGTAGAGAAGCAGTGAAACATTTAGAGGGTTGCTAAGTAATCACTCACTCCTTAGAGTGTCACTGTTAGGATCACACATGACAACCAAATCACTGTTAAAGCAAACTGCACTGTATGGAATACCTAGATCCCTGTACAAAAGTAAGACCAATTGCTATTCTATGAAGTGGATTTTCTTTTACCTTGCATTTTTTTTCTCATCATTAAAACAAATAAATACAGACTTTTTTTTTTTTTTTCAAATATTGTATTTCATGATTGCAGGTTCATTCATTCGTTCGTTTCACTCATTCATTGAAGACCCACCATCACACAAACTCTTTCTCTTTTGTGCAGTAAAATGTTAACTTGGCAGTTGTGGGGTTTTCAGACCCTGTATGTTCCAAAGACAAAACTGGCCCTTGACCTGCTCTTGAGAAGTAACCTCTGAACTCCTGGACTATCCTGCCTAGTAAGAGTGTCTACCTTGGGTCTTGTGCCATGAAGATAGTTTATGCTGACAATTTGATTTATTGTGAATATCTGACTTCATTTCCTTGGGACCCTGGGCCATGCTGTAACAGTTTGACCCTTGGGAGAGCTGAAGACTGGAAGATAAGATTAGTCACGAGGGCATTCTATCCCGATGAATGGACCTTTAATAAAAACCCTGGAGACCAAGCTTGGGTGAGCTTTCTTGACTAGCAATACTTGTGTATTATCGCACATTGTCATTGGGGAAATTAAGTACTATCTGTGTAATTCCACTGGGAGAAGACAACTGGTAACTTGTACTGGTCTTTCCTGGATTCTGCCCTATGTGCATTTCACCTTTGCTGATTTTAACTCATCTCCTTTTCCTGTGGCAACCTTGAGTATAACAGCTTTTCTGAGTTCTATGAGTCTGTCTAGTGAACCATGGAAACCGAGTATCTTCTTGGGGACACCCGATTGCACTAGAAATAGGTCAGGCCTAAAAGATCTAATTTAGCAAGCATCCTGTTAATTAGACTGTGTTCACTCATACTGTCTTCCTTGACTGGAATAATTTTCTGTCTTCCCTACGTACTCTTACACAGCCCAATCATTTTCTAAGACCCAGAAATTACTATCCAGAGCACATTCTGGCAAAGCATTGCTACGACAGTCATTCCTTTCAGGAGGTTTCAGTTATCCATGGTTAACTATGGTCTGAAAATAGGTGAGTACAGTACAATAACATATTTTAAGAGGGAGAGGAAAAGATCACATTCATATAACTTTTGTTACACTCTATTGTTATAATTGTTGTATTTCATTACTAGTTGTTAATTTCCATGGTGTCTAATTTGTAAGTTAAACTTTATCATAGGTATGTATATACAGGAGAAAACATAGTATATATAGCGTTTGGTATTATCCTTGATTTCAGGTATCCACTAAAGGTCTTGGAGAAGGGGGGCTACTGTATTGCTGTGAATACATCTTACTTTATTTTTTTTCCTCCTTTATGTAAAAATCTCATGTACTTATGTCTTAATTATCAAACTTAATTGAGAATGTTTGAAAGCTAGGGTCTTATATTGATCATATTATCCACTCTATCTGATACATAATATCTTTTTCATATGAGAAATTCAAGCTACTTTTGCCAGTTCATTGAAATTAAAGATATACATTGCCTCTGAATGTTAACATATAAACACACATGATACACTTTGGCTGCGTCCCCACACAAATCTCACCTTGAATTGTAGCTCCCATAATTTCCCTGTGTTGTGGGAGGGACCCAGTGGGAGATAATCAAATCATGGGGGGCAGTTTCCCCCATACTGTTCTCATGGTGGTGAATAAGTCTCACAAAATCTGATGGTTTTATACAGGGTTTCCCCTTTTGCTTGGTTCTCAATCTCTCTTGTCTGCGCCATGTAAGACATGCCTTTTGCCTTCCACCATGATTGTGAGGCCTCCCCAGCTGTGGGAAACTGAGAGTCCATTAAATGTCTTTCTCTTTATAAAGTACTCAGTCTAAGGTACGTCTTTAACAGCGGGGTGAAAAATGGACTAATACAATATATCTACATATAATATGTAAAAATCCATGTTAATTATGTTACTCTAAATAGATACTCATATATTTTTCAAAATAAATGGAAACTGTTCAACTTTGACCTTATATTTTCTTACAGTGCTCACAGCGTTACTTTGCAATCTTTCTTTTTATTATTTTTAACTTGTTTTGCAGTGAGTCCACATGATAGCTCTTTCTAAGAATCCTAGCCAGAGATTGTACACCATGGCATGAACAAGCATAATTTAATTCAAGTGGAATGTGAAAACAACCCTCCTGTCATCACAGAAGACTGTCTCTCTCACTCTCTCAGGACATGGTCCATTGAAGTTAAGCTATTTTATGCCTACCATCTGTGTTGAACATGCTTAAGTGTGGACTAAACATTAGTGTGGGATTTGGCATCCTAAATTTGAGAATCCCCAGTTGGTCAAGGCCATCTCTGGTTACCCAATGAGATTGTGTGGTGTCTATTTAATTCCAGATAAATTAAATGAGTGGTCCCTCCTATATTTTCCTTTCAAGTTTGTTTAAACATTGAAGAATGTACTGACATTCTGTTTTGGAAGTTGGGGATGTATCAATTTTCTTCAGAAAAAAAATTTTCTTGGGAGCCACCTGACCATAACCACAAGTAATTCAATGGAACAGATGGTTCCTAAAACACGGTTTGTTTTCACTTACTTTGTTTCAAATGTTTCCAAAGTCAATGGGATGTACGAACTTTTACGTTATATTTTAACAAGACAGTGTCAAATCTTAAATTTGTATATCAACTGAAATTCTACCTTGGAATAATTAGTCCTTTAAATTAGTAAATTAATTCCAGGGAAAAGTGCAGAAATGCAGTTTGCTTGATTTATTAAATAATCCCCCAGTTATGTTGTATGAAATTAGGTTCTACTGAAAATATAAATCAATTAAGTAATTCATCATTTATTTATTGACAAAAATTTATTATTAATTGAAATTTACTGAGGACTAGAATGGAAAGGACTGAGAATGACAAAACAAGTGAAATTTGCTTTGAAAAGCTCATACTTTTTTGCAGCATATAGTGCCTTAAAAATGAATAAAACTGGATCCTGGCATTTTAGCATTTTTTAGAGGCCAGTAATCTAAATAGCATCCAAAAGCAATTATAAGCACAAGAATGTGTGTGTGAGAAAGAGTTGTATAAACCACCAGGAAAAGCCACCTTTACATTATTTCTGAATTCTAAATAAACCAAAATCGCTTTTGAGAACACCTTCCTGTCCCCACTGAGCTGCTGTGTGCTGTGTGTGTGTGTGTGTGTGTGTGTGTGTTTTAAAGCACAATGACATTAACCATATCACTATCCAGCACATTGTTTTCCAACATAAATTTTAATGGTGATTCACAAAGAGGCTGTCCCACAATGGAATTACCTGGGATGCCTGTCCAAATGCAAATTTATAGGTGTAACTGAGTAAGATTCTCTGGTAATTGGAAACCAGCAATTTTTATTGTAAATAAACACCTTCAAGGGATTCTTCCCACACTGACCTCCTCTACAATATATTCAGGCCTCTTGCTCACTCCTGTAGCCCATGCTTTACAACCCATTCATACCCTCCTTTTGCTCTAAGCACAGAAAATTGTTTTCCCTTCCCCGAAGGTGCTATGCTCTTTCATGACTCTGCCTTTGAACACACTATTACATATGGCTGGCCTACCCACCTGGCAAACCCAATCCAACTCAACCCCAATCTCCTCCAAGAAGCAGATTCAGCAGCCCTTGCTCAGAGACCATCCAACACCAAGTGCAAATGTCCACTATTATAATACAATTGGTTGCTTTTGAATTTATCTTACAAAGTTTTCAGGAGAACATGATTAAAAGTGAGGCTTTGGAATCCAATTGTTTGAGTTAGTATTTTGGCTTGGGCACAAAAGGTGTGTGATCTTAGACAAGTTATTTTTCTTTTCCTTTTTTTTTTGAGTGATTGCATTGCATGTTGACAAATTATAATTGTATATATTTATGAGGTACAGTGTGATATTATGATATATGTATGCAATGTGAAATGATTAAATCAAGCTAATTAATATAGCCGTCATCTCAGATACTGAACTTTTTGTGATGAGAACATTTGAAATTTACCCTGTAAGCAATTTTGAAACATACACTACACTATATATACAATGTAGTCATTATATACAATATGTAATAGATAGGTACAGCGAAATTACACAAATATACAAAAGATACGATACGCTATACTCATTGTGTTGTGCAATATATCTCAAGAAACTTATTCCTTCCATCTAACTGAAACGTTGCACTCTAAGTTATTTTTCCTTTCTAAGCCTGTTTCCTCATCTGTAAGATGAGGTGGGGGAAGTTATGTAAGGATTAAAAGTTCAGTATTTGTCTAGTAAAGATTAAGTAAGTGTTAGCTGGTTTAATACCTAATTATACCTTTGTACCTAATAATAACTTTGGTACATAGGACGCATGCACCAAATCTGACTATCATAGAAAAATGAGTAAATGAGGTTTTCACTTCATAGACAGGATTTGGAAAATGTTTAGGAATTAATTCTATATACCATATTAATGTGAAATGTGTTTTAAAATATAAAGTCCTTTATCATCATATTTGGGAATCAATATCATAGAATATTATGAGAGAAAATCTAACTTGCTCTCACATATGGGCCAAATCTTTATTCAAAATGTACAGAAATTACATGGTTTTGTAAATATTTCTCGCATAATTGATTTCAACAAAATGTGAACTCCTAACTACAGTAGGTTTTTAATGTTTTTATGTCCAAGTTATTCTCTTCTCACCATTATCTGA